CCCCCCCCCCCCCCCCCCCCACAACTTCTGGTTCATCCGTGTGAAACGTAGCCCGGGCCAGCGTAAGAACAGTGTCTCGCTCCGTCCGGGCATTCTAGGGACGCGAAGTCCATGGTCTAACTACTACGGCATGCGTTTATTTGAGTGTCCCTCTTGTGTGACCCCGACTGGTACGTCAGGTACTGCATGGTATATACGCGGAAAGGACTGGAAACCGGTGCCAGAATAGATGGGACGAGCACACACGCACACACCCCACGTTCTGCTGCTTTCTCGTCCCGCGTCCTGCTGCGGTTGTTGTTGCTGTTATTGATGTTGTTTAGGTGGGTTCTTTTTGGTGCTTCAACACCCTGTTTGGCACCGGCACGCTCCTCAAGTGCTACTTCTGCGCCTTCTACTTTTCTTACGCTATCGGGAAGGCCTCGGAGTGAGTGAGAGAGAGAGAGCGACAAAAGGAAGCGAGAGAGAGAAAGAGTGAGAGAGAGAGAGAGAGATGCGGAGCCGTGTCGCTTGCTCTCCTCCGCTGATGCCTTTTTTTTGTATCGATGCTCTTTTATTTGTTGGCCGTTGTTGTTCGTGACGGCCGTGGAATGAATGGTATAGGGAGGACGTAAGCGACGTGTTGCACTGGATGGTGCTGATCCCGGTGCCGCTGCTGCTGTGCCTGCTCCCGCTGGCGAAGCTTACCCTGCCCATGTTCGCGCAGATGGCCTGTCTTCAGGGACAGGTGTGTTGTGTGTGTGTGTGTGTGTGTTTTCTTATTAGCATGGACCCCGCTAACCGGTTTACCAATGAAAAGACGCCAGTCTCAAGTGCAGTTGAAAACGCAAAATGCTTCTATAGGCCACAATCTGGCACCCTGTGACCGAGCGTGATGGGGGAGTCTACGCTACTCTCTGGATGAAGACAGACAGATACCGCCGTAGCAGTAACGGAAAAAAACTGCACGTGTTTACCGTGGCTGCTGCTACTTTGGAAACGTGTGTGTGCGCGTGATTACTGTTGGCATCAACCGCGCTGCTAGCCGGCTGACCAATGAAAGTGCGTCAGTTTTGTAACAGGATGTAAAGCGCGAACACGGTCTCATTTCAAAGGATTTTACCGGCATGTTCGCGTGTGTGTGTCATTGTTAGTGGCATCGACCACGCTAGCCGGCTGACCAATGACAAAACGTCAGTATGTGATATTAATAGTGCGACCGCGAAGCATTCGTGTGTGTTGTTCCGTTGCTCGTGCCCTCCATCGTGTGCCGCCGCCGACGCCAGCTTGGGCTCTCCCGCCCCCCCTCTCTCTCTTGCCTTCAGCCACTGTGCGAGGTGGTGCAGTCGGTGTAGGCTGTCGCTGTCCCCGACGATGAACCGTACATATACACTGCTGTGTACATACTGGATTTTTGGGACGGATGGGGGCTTTCATTATTCGGTTGTATTTTCCTCGATTGTTGTGTGTTGCTCGCCCCGTCCGTGCTGTGTGTTTGTGAGAGTTTTTTTTTGTATTCTTGCGTTCATTTGTATATGTAATTTTTTGCCTTCCGACAATTGCAGATGTACCTCAGAAAACTTTCACTTAATGTCTCATACTCTACATGAACATAAACCCAATACGAAGTACAACAACATATGTAGGACTTATTTCTACTGTCACTTACATCGTAAATTTGTATTCTCGATCTTGCTTGTGCCCCTCACCATTTTCTCTTCATTTCGTTCTCATTCTCATTCTCGTTCTCGTGAAGTCAACGAACGAGGCCGGTCGGAACAGCGGCAGACTAGGTTGTGTGTGCCCAACGTGCCCCCACCCCCCCCTCCCTACAACCCATCAAGACCGATTCACCGCGCAACTTAATTTTGTTGTTGTTGTTGTTGTTGTTGTTGTTGGCGTCAGATCGTGTGGGAGCTTGTCAGTGACATGGAGGAGCAGCAGGAGATGGCGGCGAACGCGAGAGAGGTCGTGCTGTCCAAGCTGCAGGATACCCTCCGGGTTCGCATGGAGCAACGCAGGAAAGAGGTATGTCGGTGATGCGCACGGGCCGGGAGGGGGGGCGCGTCATCTTTGGCGCCGAAGAACGCACGAGAGTCAAGTTTTCGAAGTGTCGTGGAATTGATATGAAGTGCCTCGGGTAGAGCCACCCGTGCCAGAGCGCTACTAGCTGTCCGCGAAGGTCGACGTCGGGGAGAGATTTTTGAGATTGAGACGACGAAGCAAGGGTAGTAGCTGGTTGGTGCCGACGTTTTGTGTTGTGTTTTTGTTTTGTTTTTTGGTAGCACATGCCTGCCACCCTTGCTGTCTTTGCTGCTACTTTATTTGCTGCTGTCTTTGATGCTGTCTTTGCTGCTGTCTTTGTTGCTGCTGCTGCTGGCGTTGTGATTGTGGATGAAAATTGCAATCGCAGAGAGACGTAGGGTTCAGGTTATTTCCACCTTCTGCCTCGCCCTCCCTCCCCCCTCTTCAGTATGCCGCTTTTCGGACGACGGCCAAGCTCCACCTGGGCTTGTACTCCATTGACTTTTGTATTTTTCTTTTCGATTTGGGTTATTGCTCATGAGAGTTTGTATCTGAATCGCGCAAACAACTATCGAGCACAAGCCTCACTCCAACTCTTTGTGCTCGCCGCGGCCTCATCGTGTCGTGCTAGGGTGCGGGGGGCGGCGCCACCGGCGCGAGGCTGCTGTCTCGGGTGATCGACGAACTCTTTGAGGAGTGGGACAAGGACGGGAACAACTTGATTACGCGGGAGGAGCTCACAAGGGGGCTCAACAAGCTCGGCATCTACCTCTCTGCGGTACGGCATGCTTGTTTTTTGTGTTTGACGTTCTCTCTCCCCCTCCCCATGCGAACAACCCTCGTTCTTTGTTTGCGTTCTCTCTCTCTCCCTCTTTTCCACCCGCATATATGCAACAACGCCCGATCTTTTAAATGCCCTTTTTTGGTTTTGTTGCGCTTATCATGTGTGCACGCGCGAGGGTACGGGTACCTAAATGCAGCGGCATGTATGTGAGCGTTTTCCACGAAAACACCGTAGGCGACGTGAGTCATCACGCCCCCTGGACCGATTCATAACGCTCGAATCTCTCCAAGACAATTAGCGTGTGACAAATCGAAGGCGATGCTAACATTTTTGGGAAGCTCTCGACAAGACGCTCCTGACTCCGCCATTTCCGATATCGCCTCCCTCCTTCTGCTGCGCAGTAATCGACCCCTGAGCGATACTAACATTGTTGAGGAGCTCTCGACGAGACGATTCCAATGCCGCCATTTCCGGCACCTCTGTCTGCTGCGCAGTGATCGAACCTTCAAAATGGGTGGCCCAAGGGGTGCGCGTGATACATGGTGCCGTCCACGGTAGGGTAGGGTTCTACCGTGCCTATGCCGTGTCCGCTCCGCAACCTACGGTTATGTACCCTTCGATGACGCTCACTCACGCACAAATCCCTTTGCCGTTTGGATGGTTGTGGCACGGTGGAGGTTTGCCCCCATTTTTTTTCTGCGCGCGTGCATTTTGACGTCTCGCGAGCGAGAACCGATGCCAACGAAAGACCTTCGACTCGTCGACCTTTAATTGTTTTGCAGTTTTTTTTTTTTGTCCGTCTCGCGCGAGAGCGCACAGATGCAAACGATGAAGCTCTCTGGACTCGCCGACAAGCGAACTGCGATGAGATGTTGCTACACGCGGTGCGTGCGGCGCACAACAACGGTTTTCTTTTTTTCTTTTCTGTCCCTTTTTTGTCGGTGTCGTTCGTTTTTTTCCCCTCTTGGCGCGCTCTCGAGAACACAGACGCAGACGAGGGAACTTTTCCGGCTCGCCGACCCGGACCACTCCAAGTCCATCGACCCGGCCGAGTTCCGAGCCTTTCTGTCCGACCTACAAACGCTCGCCGACGAACCGGAGCTGCTCTCCAGGCAAGCCATGCCTACCGTACAGCTTACCAGCAAGGGTATACCAGTAGCTTACCAGCAAGGGTGTGCTAGTAGCTTACCCGCAAGGTTGTGCCAGTATTTGAGTACAGTAGGAGGAGCCGCTAAAAAGATAAGAAACTCTTAAGTTTGGGCGAGGCATTGGGGTCCTTGGTTCCTCAGGGTGTAGGCTACACTACGAATGACCATTGTGTGGGTCTTGTTAGTGTCGGGGTTCTTCACCGAACTCACGAACGGTGTTGGGTTGTTGTAGGTACAGTCATGGCTCCTTCTCTTTCATCGGGGGGAGCCCCCTCTTGTACCAAATGAAGAGAGAACTCTCAATATCACTACACACGGTCGAGTCCGCGTCAACCGATTTGGACCCTCTGACATCGGAGCCCCTCTCATACGGTACCATACCCTCTTACATCGGACCCACGGCTGCATTGAGTTCTTCGAGGCTTGAAATGCCAGGTTCTGAAGTGGTGGCGGCAGCATTTTGTGCGGGTTTTTTGGTGGTGTTGTCGTCGTTGCTGTCGCTGTAGCCGTCCCTGTTGTCGCAGTAGTCTACGCAGCAAAATTGATTAAGCAAACATATGGGATAAAAGTATTGAGTCGGTGCTTTGGGGCTAGGGTTGGGGTTAGGGGTAGGGTCGGCGGTATCGGTGGTCGTGTGTGTTTGTTTGTCCCATCATTCTGGCGCCCCGGTTTGCAGGTCTTTCGGTGTATGTCCCATGCAGTACCTGACGAACAAGCCGGGGTAACACGAGAGGAAGGTCACACAGGAACTTACACAGGAACTTTTTTTTTTTTTTTTTGCCCCACCTTCCCCCCTGCTTGCCTCGATTTTTGCAGCAAGAAGCGTTCGGTAGTGTTGCTAATTGAATTGCTTGACCTTGTTGATGCCGTCCACGGTGTCGATTGTTGGTTGCGGGTGTGGTGGTGATGTCGTTCGAGTCATTGAAGACGCGCTCTAATGTATGGCCCCCTCCAATCCAGCTTTTTTCCCATCCTCCGACTTGCGCGATGTTACCGGCCGACGAGAAACGGCATTGTTGGTGCTTGTACGTGTGTGTTTCTTCTTTCTTTCTTGTCTGGGCTCCATCGTTTGACGACAGCCCCCGCCTCCACCTCGTGCCGCCCGTCGCGTACGACAACCCCCGCCTCTTAACCTCTGTGTGCCGTCAACGTTTTGTCCGTCGACCACCTCGAAAAACGATGCCACTGGCGATGGCATTGACAACCGCTGACACCGATGGCATTGACAACCACTGACACCGATGGCATCGGCAACCACTGACACCACCACAACGCACACTACCGACGGTGACCAACGGCGACAACCACCACCACCACTTCCGTGACAACGTCGGGCCAGGCAAGTGACCCTCCGCCTCCAGCGTCGAGCCATAGCCGAGGAGCGCGAGCACCCGCGCGTAGACGACTGCGGCCTCCTGGCCGCGTGCGCCGCTGCGAGCAGCGGCGGCGGCGGCGGCGGCGGCGGTGACTCACGCCGAGTCGGAGAGGCACGTCGCGCCGCGTCCATGAGCAGCGTCGTCTGAACAACCGTTCGTGTAGGCGCTCGTGTGTGTCGCAAGCTCGGTCTTTGAGACGGCTTGGTGTAGGCATCCCTTCCTGCCGTGTGAAGTCGCCAAAAGGGCGTTTTTTTTAGGCCGCGGAGAGGGTCTCCTCGTGAAGTGTGTTTTTGGATGTGTGGTGCTCCGTCCTCTTCCTCTAGATGTGGTGCTACAGCAGCAGCAGCAGTCCTCCTCTCGCTTAACAATCCGCGAGAGGCGATGTTGGTATTTTTACGCCGGTCTCGTCCGACATGAGCGACGGCCGCACCACCCGCTCGGGCCTAAGGCTGCGGCCTGAGAGTGGATGGGCGATTTTTTGTATTGCCTGTGTTTGTGCTTGTGCTTGTCTTGCGTGGTGCCTTTTCATGTTGGGCCCTCCTCCAAGTGGTGCCGGGGTAGCTCAGCCTGCCTAATCACAACCCAGCATCTATAATTACGGTCTGTGTGTCCTTTGCTACCAAACTCTCAGTCTCCTTCAGCTGCTCTTTTTCCAGAGGGCGCTTTCGTTTTTGTCTTAAATACTTGGTGAATATTCTCATCCTGCTGAGATTGTTGTCACGTCTTGGGGGGCTTCTCCTTGCCTTCGAAGTGGCGTTCGTTTTTTTTTTTTCTCAAAGGGACGCTTGTACATTATCCAGATTGCGAGGGCCGTGTCCATACGTGCGTTTTTTGCGTAGGTGCCACATAAATAGGTCCTTGGTCTTCGTCATCAAAGTCGTCTTCTTCTCGTTCGTCTTCTTCTTCTGCTGCTGAGGCTTCAATGTCTTGGTTATCCGTAAGTCTTGGAACTGCGTTATGTGTAATTTACCACACGGGACGCTTGTACGGTACTGGCGGTCGCCGCCCACCGTGGTTGTGCAAGCGCCACGCAAAGTCGCGCTCGTCGTCACTGCCTCTTCCCCGCCTTGTCGGTCGCCCTGGCGTTTTTTCTTGTTGCATGCCTCGGCTTCTCCTTGTCTTCGCACTGCTGTGAGCAGTTGTTTTTCCTAGTGCTGGACAGGTTGGACAATTCATTTTGCTGTCGCTGTTCCTTACACGGGTAAGTGCTGCCTCGCAGCTCTTTTAGAAACTCGTTATACAGTACCATCCATTTCGTGGTCGCTTGTGTAGGTTATTGGTCTGAGGTCGTTTGTTCCTTCGGGTGTCGATGTTTTTTTTCTTTTTTGCCGTGTCCTTTGGTGGTGGGTGGATGCATGTGGGGTGTGTGCTTACGCTGGTGCGGAGTGTTCTCGGCGACGTGGCTCTTCCATAGCTAAGAAAAACAAAGCCGGTGACGGAGGTGCGGAAGATTGGGGCGTTGGATCCGTGTCGTCGAGACCTTCCCCAACACTTTTCATTTGGTCTTGGCAATCCCTAAGTCGTGGGTGGAGTTGTCGAGCGTTTTGAGAATCCGGCTAGGGTGTGTGGTATCTTGCGTAAAACATGCTACGTTACGATGGTGGCGGAGTCTTCTTCGTGTTTAAAATCGTTTTTACTTGTTAGCAAGTGGTGTTGAGGAAACCCATTGTCAATGGGCATTTGAGGAAACACGTTATTAGTGTGCGGTGATGTCGTAGCGGGGTACAAGGTATAGGACCCTCGTCTGGATGTTTTTCTTTTCCCCTCATTATTGATACCATAGATTTCTGAGTGCGAATGACACGAAGCGGCTGGTGTTGACAGCACGCTCTTGGGGCAAGTTTCCGTTTTTGATGGAATTGTTATCATCGTTGTCACGACCAAACCGTTACCTTTTGAGTCGATGATTGTTGGAGGCAGAGCGCGCGCGGACTGATGCCGCGGCCAAACGAAACGTTTCCAGAGACACCAACTCAAGGTGTCGAGAGACCATGTCCAGACCATCCAGGAGATACGCGTGACACCCTAAGTTTCGCTAGTTTTTGCACGGGCATACACATTGCACCAACCCCCCACTAGTGATGACGTACCATTACAATGCATCGCTGGTTGGCGGCCACGTTTGCGTGTTTGCTTGTCGTTAGTGGTCTCTCTACCGCGTGCCTTTTTCTGTCTCTTTTGTTGTTATTTTCGGCCTGGTCCCTTTTTGTCCTCGCTCTTTTTATTTCATTTTCTCTTTTCTTAACTGTTTCCTTTTATTTTCTCTTTTTCTCTCTTTATCTGTGCCAGATGGCCTTGTTTCTGCTTGCGTTGTGAAGTACCAAGATTGAACCAAGGGGATGTAACTCATTCTCTCGGGCCCGTGATGGTAACCCCTAGTCTCAGTTGTTACCTCGCATAGCGCGCAGAGGGAGTGGAGGACTCCAGAATATCTGTCGTTGATTTTTTTGACTTGCGAACCCCTGGGGGCCATTTCATTTGAGTGTACCGTTTTAGGGTAAGTTAGCCTGCGACCACGGGAATCGGCCGCGTCGAGTGTTGTATCAGTACGGACATACGAAGGTACTGGGTAGCGAGAGATCGGGACGGTTTTTAATGTGAAAACAACAATACTGTGGTCTAGTTTGAGAGCTTGTGGCGCCGGGAGATACGGGCCGGGCGGAGGATGTTCGACCCCGAGCCCCTTATCCAGTGTGGGTCTGCTCTTGTAACGCGCGGGCACGATGAGTCATTGGTGCTGGACTCGTTTTCTCTCGGCTGGGGCTGGTGGATGTCTTGGAACCCTCGTTGGCCCGTTTTTTTTTTTCTTTCTTGGCCCCCTCGTGATTTTGATTGTTTTGCCGGCGTCGTGCGCGTGCAGGAGGAAACACCCAAATGTTAGAGGGCTGGGGTTGATTGTGTTCCTTGGATGTATCCCGCCGGTCTTTCCACTTGTCGTACGCGCACGACATGTGAGGTTTGTTTCGAACTATCGGCAATAGGCGGAAGGGAAGCACAGCCTACGGTGTGTATTGTTAATGCGCATGGCTGCGGGGTATCGATAGATCTTCACTTCTTTTGGCGACGGTGGGTTTGTCATAGAGGCGCGGGGCCATCCAGGCGGCGCTCTGGTCGAAAATGGATTTTCGCTTCCGCTTGTGCTCTACCACCACATAATGTCTCGCCCAATTAGTACACCCTGCCCCACCCCCTCCCCTGCACATCGTGACGCCGGAGTCTCTGACGTCGGATGGGTTAGGTTCGTCACAGATCACCAATACCATCGCCAAACCACGCGCAAACACAATAAAAGAGCCCCCAACATCCAAAATTGTCACACCACAGCAACAAATGTAGGGTTCCATGTCCCAACGCCAACCCCAACGCGGCGGCGCCCTTGTCTCGCACCGTGCCCCCCGGCAAGAACACGTGTCCACTACACGCCCGTTCAAACACGCAATACACACTTCGCACACTGGCGACGAACTGTACAAGAGCAGGGGTACGCCCTCCAAGGCACGCACGCACGCACTCACTCACAAATGGTTTTCATCATTTCCGGCAGCCGTACGCGTTTCGCCTACTCGGCCAGCACAAAAAAGCTCGGGCCAAGAAAGACCCAAAACTCCGCATCGTCAACCTCAGACTTGGAAGAACATTCGACGACGCCGCCCTCCCTCTTCCTGAGCAGAAAAAAAGGAACAGGCCAAATGTATGCCTAGCATCCAGGAGCTGACACACACCATGTCGGAAACCCAGTATCCGGGGGGGTTAACAATCTTTCGCCAAGCGTGCTTACCAAACCACCAGCTGTCCGCGAAAAACTACTAGTCAAGTTCATCTTGTCGCTCCTCTCTGGACGTTGTTGTCAAAAATCGGCGTTAGGCTCGTTGGTTTGTCTCGATCCCGAAGACGACGACGACGATCGTGCTGCCGCCGGAACTGCGCACGCGGTCGCGACGGCGCGGCGAGCTCTGTCGTCGACGGGAACTCTGGAGGAGACCATGACCGCGAGCAGGTCTCGCGCCGGCTGGCACAGCGAGGCGTCCGCACAGGCGTCTAGCGCTGAGCCGTACAGCCTCGCGTCGGGCGTCAACCCCCGGTACGTCGCAATGCTGGCCAGCAGGGGCAAAAGCGCGCCCCGGGCCTCCTGCCCCCGGGCGCCGTCGCCGCCGTAGCCCCAGTCTCTCCTCCACGCCGAGATCATCGTCGTGAAGGTCGTCGAGTTGGGCTCGAGGCCGTCCTCCCGCATTTGCTCCAGCAGACCCAGCGCCCGCTCCCAGTTCCCCGCTCGGCTGCAGGCCATGATGGTCGCCGAGTAGCTCACCACGTCTGGCGTCGGACCCCCCGTCCTCCCTCGCCGGTGCCGCCGTCTCCGGTCGGCCTTGCTAACACCCTCCGCTCCATTGGGAGCTGTTGTCTCACCGCCATATTCGGAAGGCGTACATTCTCGAGGGTCGCTACTTCTCGCCGCCCCCGAACCTGCTAGTAGTCCCGCGTCTTCGTTGTTGCCATCGGGCGCGCTGCCGTGCTCGCGATTCGCCGGCGGCACTTGGTCGTCGTTGTATTCGGCGGCATCGCCCCCCGCGTTACCGTTGCGCCGCATCTCTTCCAGAAGAGAGACGGCCTGCTGCCACTCGCCGGCGTTGCTGCAGGCGTTTATCGCGGCGTTGAAGCTCACGCGGTTGGGACCGGCGAAGCCGCCGCCGCTGCCGCCGCTTCCCGGCTCCCGCCCTCTCTCCCCAGCCTCCGCCTCCATGTCCCGCAGCAGCCCGAGCGCGCGCTCCCACTGCCCGGCCTCCCCGCAAGCGGAGATGGCGGCGTTGAATGCCACCACCCCCGGCGCGATTCCCTTCTGGCGCATCGTGCCCAGCAGCCCCACGGCCAGGGACCACTGCCCCCCGCGCCCGCAAGCCGTGATGGCCGAGCCGAAGCTGTACACGTCGGGCGAAGGCAGCCTCGCCCCCCCCGACCCGCGGCCTCCCTTCCCGCCCGCTCCCATCTCCCCGAGGAGAGACAGCGCCCGCCTCCACTGGCCCTTGACCGCGCACGCCGCTATTGCCGAGTTGTAGCTTATCGTGTCCGGGGCCAGGCCGGCGACTCTCATCTCCCGGAGCAGCTGGACCGCCCGGTCGGACTCCCCGCGGCGGCCGCACGCCGAGATCGCCGTGTTGTACGTGACCCTCGTCGGGTGGAGCCTGTCCTCCCGCTGGGCCTTCTTCATCACCTCCAGCGCCAGCTCCCACTCCCCCTCGGCGGCGCACGCCGCCATTACCGTGTTGATCGTCTGGATGTCGGGGTCGTAATCCGAGGAGCAGGCGGCCCCGGGGCCGGTCCGGCGACTGACGCTCCTTCCGCCGCTGCGGCTACCCTTGGCGCCACCATCCACACCGTTCAAACGGAGCCCATCCTTCCGTACGCCGCCCTCCCCCCCGCGGCCCCTCGCGGTTCCGCTACGCCCTACCACACCGGACCAACTACTGCTATCTCCTATCGCGGGCGACTCGGGAACGGCGGCGCCGGCAGCAGCGGCAGCAGGGGCGGCGGCCGGTGGTGCTGCGTTGGCCTTGGCGGCGTTGGATCGCATCTCCTCCAGCAGCGCCAGGGCCAGCTTCAGCTGCTTGCCCCTGGCGCACGCCTTGATGGCCGCGTTGTAGACCGGCGTCGTCGGCTCCACCCCGTCCTCCCGCATGCGGCGGAGGATGCCTAGCGCCTCCTGCCACTGCCCGTTATCGGCCGCCGCGCCCACGCAGCTGCCGTAAACGTACTCGTCGGGAAGGAGGCCGCCCTCGATGGCCGAGTCCACCTCGGAGATAGCCTGCCGCCATCTCCCGACCTTCCCTAGGTCCTTCACCTGTTTATTGACCGATTGTTGGGTTCAGGATACGCCGGAGGAAAACGGGGGACTTTAAACGGGGTTTTGGCGCAAAATACGGGCATCTAAAAGGAGTGGTTTTATCTTCCGGAGAAGTGTGCAGGGTGGTGTTCCAGATGGCATCCAAGTTAACGACGGCGTTTTCAACCGTGTGGTCGAGGCACCCAAAAGGAACGTACAAAGGGATGGGCACACGTTCAGATATTCTCCCGCTGTTTTTTTGCACAACGGTTTTTCCGAACAAACCCATTTCACAGATGGTGCAATTTGGTGGGGGCTATGTCGAAATCGAAACAGAGGGGCCCACCATACATTCTAGAGAATCGGACCCCATGAGGGAGGGCGAAAAACTCGATGATGGCCGGCTGATGAAACCGCTACAAGTGATTGAATGCTTCAGGTGCATCTATATACCAAGTCGCAAAGGACCGTATCAACAGTCTTGTGCACACAACATACGCGTCCAACTCCTCGAATACGCCGTGTGTGCAGATCTGGTCGGGGATACCATCAGCAATACCCTTCCGAGGTAGCCATCAATTAACCGCCAGCGAGTGCTAATATGTGTTGAGTATGCACGGTCTTTGTCGAGACACGTGGTCGGCGGACGGTCCGATGAAAAAGTAGACGAAGCCAAAACCGAGACAAACTCGCCGCCGTAAACGCTTCGTTCGCGAAGAAAAGACATTCGCATGGCAGTAGAACAAGCGAGAATTTGCCGTCCTTGTGTGTCCGACGACACAGCAGTGCGTGCCTGCCCCAGGGGCAAACAGGGCACGCCAGTGGCGAAGGCATCGGATAGCAAAAGAGACAAACAACGTAAAGACACTCCGCATTGTAGCCGACACTACTACCTGCTGCTGTTTCCAGCAGGCGGCACCCCTCACCTTCTTGACGAGGGACTTCTTGGCGGCCATGGCAGCCCTCTCTCTTCTCCGTCTATCGCGCTGCCGTCGCGCGCGGCCCGACGATGTCCTCTCGCCGGCGGCGGCGGCGGCAGCCGGTGATGGTGCCGTCTGTACCTTCTTCTCTCCCTCGCCGTCGTCGTGTCTCACCTTGCCACCCCTCTTACACTTCCCGCCGCCCGCCCCTCGAAACGACTCACTCGAAGAGACATCGGAACGACCGCTGCCGTCGCCATTGATCCTCGTGGTTCGTGCCGAGGTGGGCTGCCGTGCTCCCTCACTGCCGCTGCCTCGTCCCTGGGCTACTGCTGCACCGCCGTTTGGTTTATGTTGCTCCTCTTCAGGTCCAGAGTGATGGGCAACACCTCCTGCGCCCGACGTTGCCGGCTGCTCTTCGCGCTTCAATGGTAGCATGGCTACGACTCGTCCGCGATACTGCTGCTGCTGCTGCTGCTGCTGCTGCTGCTGCTGCTGCTGCTGCGCACTCGACGCGGCATGATCCGCTGCTGCCTCCGCCGCTGCTGCTGCTTCGGCAGCCGAGTCTCTTCCGGGAGGTGCCACCTTCTGCTGCGCAAGTATCATGAACAGCCTATGGCGCTCTCGCTCGCGCGTAGAACTACCACCCATGCCGTGACCAGCGCATGGAGCAACATACGGCCCATGCCTCCCGCCAGCAGCGTCAGCAGGCCGCAAGAGCACAGGGTGCATGCGGTGGCCGGGGCCGTGTCTTGAAGTAGCACCTTGACGTGGATGCCGCTCCTGCCGGCAGCGCTTGTACGTCGTCGTCATCGGGAAGCCCGAGGCGGCAGCCCCGGGCGAAACGAACGCAGGGTGGCAAAGGCCAGGAAAGGCCGAGCCCGAACCCATAGGCATCTCCCCCGGTGGACGCTGGCACACGCTGCAGCACAGACAGACTGCACAGCACCCACAGCGGCGAGTCAGCACAACAAAATCGATCGTCGCGACATGGGAGCTCCGTGCATCATTTACATGATCCTCTATTCTCGACATCGTCCCTCTGCGGGAACCGGGGACAAGGGTTGTGTTTCCTTCTCTGTACTCAAATGTTTCCTCAATATGTAGGCAAAATGTACGAACTCCTTTGCTGTGGCCCCTGTCCCCCCCCTCCTACAGCCTCCTCCCGGCGTCGGGCACACCGACGAGGGGAGGCGTGCAAACGCACACGGAGAGAGGGCATACCGGACGAAGGAGAGCGTTAGGGACCATGGTCTTGGCGTCAGCGCTTCGTGCGAGCCTTACAAGGGTGAGGCAAGGGTTGGAGAAGGGGTTAGAGTGTGCGAGTGCACGGATTTGCCCAACGCAAGAGAGAGAAGAGAAGCCGCGAAGGCCCGGGCCTCTAGCGTTTCGCGCTTGCGTGTATGCTAGTGTGCTCCTGCTGCTGTCTGCTGTCTTGGTACTCAAGCGACAACACCCCAGTTGTTCGATTGCACGACAGTAGCCGACAAAGCACAACGCATGTGCTGCAAGCACGGAGTCTAGGGGAGGGCTTGGCGGTGTGTGCCAACCTTCAGAGAGCACTACGTCTTGCGGAACGTGACTTGATTGCACACGTTTGCCCTGCCGCCGTGGGGCTCCCACCGCTGCCCCTTCTAACGCGACGTCGTGTGTGCCTGCGGGGCGGGGGGCGTCAACGTTTCATACGCGTTTGGGGTTTTTCCCAGCAACACACGCTTGTCTCCCAGATCTTAAGCTTTGCGTGCAATATCAGCACGCCGACCTCCGGTGTGCTGCTCTCTTCAGTCGTGTTCACGTATTGTGTTGTTATCTGATGCGTGTCCCTTTTTCTGCAAAATGCGGAAACACCGATCCACGTACCACCCAAGTGACTGACCTTCATCGCCGCCGAATTGGAACGGTGGGTCCTAGCGAAGCCGTGGCATTGTCCTAACTTGGTGTCAGCTATCATTGCTGTGAGATGATGTTTCCTTTGTGTATCAAAGGGGTGTGGGCGTGTTTGTTGCCCAGAGTTGAGTCAGTACCGACTTGTGTTGTAGTGTCAACAGGTTCTTGCTCTGTCTCCGTGCTGCTGCTGGTGTGCTCCCGCTTGGTGCAACCGTGTGATAGGAACTCTACATGAGCGTAGCCTGTGCATGGATGTGTTTGTGTCGTCCCATTTGTGCTGGACGTCGGTGTTCACCTTTGGGCGTACGTATCGGTTATACAGCAGCAGGCGACAGACCTAGCATCGTTTAGTGAACAGGGAAGCAAGACAAACGTTTCCCCAACACACCAGCACAGAAGCAGTGGGGCGTTCATGAGGAGCGAGCAACTCTTTCTACCGCAGTCTACAGCAGCAGCAGCAGCAGCAGCAGCACTGGACGTTCATCAGAGTGTCAACATGCGGATTCCACCTATGCATACAACCCTCTACCTTTGGCGACCTCTTTCTCTTTCTCTTCAGCACCCTTGTGTCTGTCATCACACTCGCAGCAACCTCCTGTCATCATCTGTTCCTGCACGATACCGTTGTATGTAGAGTACGGCGGTGAGTTTTGGTTCATGTTTTAGGTCGCCCCTCCCCCGAACTCCATGCTGCACTCTACGATACCCCTTCCTGTCTGCGCGCAGGTCCTGCATACCCAAAATAGGTACATTGCCCAACCTAACACCCCGAGATATATCTGTGCATTGAAAACCTCTCGCAACATATACAATACTCGTACCACGTATCAACCCCCCCTCTTGTCTTGTTGCAGGATGCGGCGTCGGTGGCCTCTCGCCGAGCGGCTGCTGCTGCCGTCGGCGGCGTGAGGCGCTTGGGCGCGGCCGCGGTGCAGGAGGAGGCCGCACCGCTCTACCCCGACGCTGTCCTCACGGCACCGGAAACAAAGCAGGCAAAGGTATGGGTGTAACCCTTCGTTACTAGCATCGAACGCGCTACAGACCGGCCGACCAATAATAATACGTCAGTCTCAGTGCGATTGTGTGTGTGTTGTTGGCATCGACCGCAGTAACCGTCTGACCGATGAAAATACTTCAGTCTCAGTGCGGCTAAAAATGGAAGACGCCCCGGAGGTGAAGGCCATGACCGCTGTGTGTGTGCCTCGCTTCCAGGAGTATTGTAGTTGTAAAAGCATCGAGCGTGCTACCTGACTGAGCGATCGAACGGCGTCAATTTTAAAACGGGTACAGATCAAGGACCACGAAAGGGGGCCGATATCCTAAGGCCAGCTGTCATGGTAGATTTTCTGATTTGGAATCCCTACTTTGACGTCCAAACCCACTTGAGGCAGCAGGAGTTCTGCGCACTTGGTTGGAAAAGCACGCACGCTCGCTTTGTCGCTCAACACTCGCCTTGCATCGATTCCCGCGTCGTCGTCGTTGTTCTTACCGTTGTTGTCGCGAGCCAGCTGGGTAACGGCGTCCGGGTCGCCACGGAGGCCGGGAGCGGGCCCGTGGCCGCGCTGACGGTCAGCGTCGACCTGGGGTCCCGGTACGAGTCTCCGGAGAACAATGGCGTGTGCTCGGTGATTGGTGCCTCCGCTTTCACGGTGAGCCAAGTCGGTCCGTCGTCGTATTCGATTCCGCCGTAGTTCTGCTGGTCCTGATCGTTCCTTGATTGTCCTGGGCCCCAAGCCCGTCTGTTAGCTTGCTATTCGGGATGGTATCATGGTGTCGTGCTTTTTGGGAGAATTTCGCCTTGCTGTCACTTGCTGTTGTCCGCTGTGCAACAAGAGACAAACAAGATCAATAGCAGTTGTACTCCTTGTGTGCTTGGTCTGCTGTTGAGTAGGTACATTCAAATAAAAGATCAGGACGGTGCCTCAACGCTATCATCAAACACGGCACGAATGTTTGGACCCATGCTTCATAAAGTTCTACCACACAGGAAGGTGAACACGCCTATGATTGTCTGTTTACGTCGACGATTGGTCTTCTTGTCTCGTTCTGTCAGGGGAGCGAACCGGCGATCGCGGCGATGGGGGGGCACTTCACCCGGACCGTGGACAGGGAGGTGATGACCTACAGTGCGACGGTGGCCGAGGCCGACGTGCCCAAGGCCATGGCGGTGCTCGCCGACGCCGTCAAGGTGCGTCGTGTTGTTGTCGTTGTTGTAATTGTCACTGGTGTTGGTTTGTCTTGTTGTCGTCGTCGTTGTCGTATTTTTTTCCGTATGTTGTTAACGTCGCCATCGTTGTGTACAGCCGCCTGCGCTGCTGATGTTGTCATCGCGTGCAAAGCTCGCCATGTTTTCGCCGATTGTACTGCATCCCTTTGAGAGGATCACGTGTGGAAAATCTTTCAAGTCGACCGCGAGGCCGTCGTCCCCTCGTGTTGCATCAGTGCGCGCGCTTCACAGCCAATGTTGCCGCACTGCACACCACCTCCCCCCCTCACCCCCGAATCCAAACCCGTTTGCGCACTGCTGCTTTTCCGCGATTCAGGCGACGAACTTGTCGGCAGAGTCGCTTCAGGCCGCCAAGGGAGCTGTCCTTGACAACATCGAAGGTACAATGTGATACATCGGTCGTACCTCTGTCTCGTCTTGTTGTATCTCTGAGTCTCCCTCACTCAAGTCTATGCCGTCGGTGGGACAACAAAATTGCTTTTCAAAACAAACTGCTTTCCCCCCCCCTCCCTCCCCAACGTAACATCAGCGGCGCGTCGCGACCCCCGGTTGGGCCTGATGGACCACCTCCACGACGCCGCCTTCCTCGACACGGCTATGGGCATGTCGCCCCTCGGGACCGCGGAGAGCGTCAGCGCCCTCGGCCTGGACGGGGCCAAGAACTTCTACGGCCGCGGGTTGGCCGGGTCGCGGGTGGTGGTCGCCGGCGCCGGAGCGGTCAAGCAGGTGTGTTGGTCGTCGTTGGTAGGAGTTCATGTTGTTGTTGTTCAGCAAGAAATCATTGGCACTGGGACTCAGTTTTCTGAATAGATGATTTTGGTAGCGCTAGTCATGACGAAATCGAATCTAACAACTGACTCTTTTATCTGTCCGCGTGCATCCCAGGGCGCTCTCACCGACATGGCGCAGACCCTCCTCGGAGACGTGGCCGCCTCGTCATCCTCGGCGGTAGACGAGGCCGTCGAGCCGGCCTACTTCCTCGGGTCGGACAAGCGCATGCGGTACGACAGCATGCCCAACGCCCACGTGGCCTTCGCCTTCAAGGCGCCCCCCGCGGGCTCGAAGCACTCCATCTCCATCATGATGGTGCAGGCATTGCTCGGTAAGCGGATCGAGGATCGGGAGGATGAGGCGCGTGGAGTGTTTTTTTTCTGTTTTTCTGCACAGGTGGCGGTTTATTTTTTGTGGTGGTTTGGGTGGTCTTTGTTCTTTTTGTTGAAAAGTGTTTATCATGTTCGTGTTGTCAGGGGGGCGAATCCGATTCTGGGAGCTTTCATACCAGTACCGTGAAGGATATCCTGAAATATTTTGTGTATTTGTTAATGCATCGTGTTTTGTTTTGTTCCAACCTAGCGTGTGTCGGTTTGCTCTTCCGCTGCTGCTGCTGCTGCTGCTGATCCTGTTTTTTCTGTCGGCGTTGTGTTGTATCGCTCGCTCATGTAAAGGGTTCGAGTACAACGAGCGAACGATCCTCGGCGTGAACGCCGCCTCGAAGTGGGCCCAGGAGATCGCCGAGCTAAACCTTGCCGCTGTGGCGACGCCCTTCTACAAGGGCTACAAGGTGCTGCTCCCGCTCTTTGCTTCACAATGTGGTCGATAATGCTAAATAGCTCCCAGCTTGGTGCACACCATTGTTCACCTTGTCGCAGACGAATAGTTTTATGCTGTCTCACCTTCCTTGCTTGTGCACGTGAGTGTTTGCTTGTTGGTGCTACAGTAGTGGAACCCACGGTCATGACACATGTCCAACGATAACGTTTTTATAGAAATCAAGAAGGAAAATGGGCAACGCCCCGCCTCTAACAGTATCACTTCGTTTTCGTTTAGACAGGCCTAGTGCTGTATGCAGAGTCGACCGTTGGGTACCTTGACAGATTTTCGGTTTGCTTCATGATAATTATTTTTTTCCGTGGACAAATTGCCGGGAATGAGGAATAGTCAATGGCGTCGGGGAGCAAGGTGCCCCATAGAACCCTCGCGCCCGATCCCACAAGCCAAAATCTTGGCTTAAAGCAAATCGGAACCGTAACGGGCATGCTACAGCACGGTTGGCAATTCGTTGCTCAATTGACGGGGCCCGTAGCGCTTACTCTTTTCACCACGCGCTTCCTTTCAAGAGTGGACCACCACTACTTGGATACCCGGCACATGCCCCATCCATGAAGCCAATACCCTACCGTGGCTATGACGCGCACCGTGCACGGCTCGTGTGCTATATATATATATATATATTTTTTTTTTTTCATTGTTTGGCCTCTGCGACACTATTTTTTGTTCATGATGGGCCGTTCTGCTGTTGCACCGCCACAGGACGCTGGGCTCCTGGGAGTCTCGTGCATCGCTTCGGACAACCACCTGGACGACTTCATGTGGTACACGCTGCACAACCTGGTGAGTCGAGCCTGGAGCCCCGAACTGCGACCCCTCCGTGTCGTGACTGTTATTGTTGGTGTGGTGGTGGTGGCGTAGCGGTGTCGTGTTAGTGTTGGTCCTATGGTCGTGTGTTGATTGTTGTTGTTGGTTTCGTTATGGTTATTGTTGTGGTGCTTTGTGACTGTGGCGTTTCCTCTGGCTGTCCAGTTTCGGATGTTGCAAAATGCCCGGAACTGCTGTAGCAGATCGTTCTCAACCCCCCCCCCCC